CGATCCGGATGGATCAAGGAGACTGTTGACCGATGGAACTAACAGCTGACTTGAGGCATGAAAGCGTTGATGCGGAGAAGAGACTGATGGACCAGATGAACTGCCATGAGTTTGATCTGAGGAGCTGCAAAATCCCGATGTCTGTACCGACGAACAGCCTACCATGTTCAAAGCTGAAATCGGACAACCGGATGTTGGAGATGGGCCAGAGCCACCACCAATAGGACCACCTGAACCCGGAGATGCAGCAGCTGCAGCAGCGGCCAATTCCTTAGCCCGTCTTGTTTTGTTTTTTGACTCAGCCAAAATGCGATCAAGAACTTCTCGGGCCTCTTGGGAATCCATCTGCGCAACATCAGGCCACATCCAACCAGGGGTATTGACATTATTGGAACCCGAACCATTTCCAGGTCCCGCAGAACCGCACATTCCTGATCGGGGAGTGCCACCAGATCCAAGTCGCTGGGAATCGTCGGACCCAAGGTTCGCACAACCCGATGTATCTTCGATTTCCTCGCTGGCACGTCGTTCCAACTGACGCATAACAAGATGTCCAATCAGCTGTTTAGCTTGTTGCACACGGCAATCTGCAGCCTGAATCGAGGTCAAGCCTAACCCCTGATAAGCGGATATTTCAAATTCCGAGGTAGCATTCGGTCCACGAGCAGCCTCCTTCGGGGGACTTTTGATTTCTGTACCCGTATCCTTCTGGATAGTAGTGATTATCGAACCTTGAGTCCCAATAATTTTTCCGACCAATTCTTGCGGAACCGAGATGCGACTGCGAGCTAGTAAGATTCGACTACCTGGTTGTGCGCCATTACCTGCGTTGAGCATACCACCAGCTCCGCCGCCATTCATGCCATTTCCGTTGGAGTTTTGCAAACCATTGGAGAGGAACAGACTACTCTGACCGTGACCAGATAGACTGCCCGTACCGTTACCACATGGACTATTTGGTAGGCTGGAGAGATGAGAAAACAGACCGTTACATCCGACGCGACCATTTACGTTACTATTTGCGCCGGTAGACATCAGAGAACTACCGCCAGCGCTTGGATGTAGTGGAGAATTTGTGGCACTGTGACTTAAAGATAGCAGGCTAGATGGACCTGAGCCGTTTGGGACTAACAAACCCGTCGAAGTATTTGCTTGAGACGATGGGCCACCACTGCCACCAGCTACGCCAGATCCACTCGTATTGAAACAATTTCCGCTGGAAGCGAGAAGGTTAGCACCACCTGTTTGATCCAGACCGTTTATTTGCGAACTGGTCGAGCCACGACGTCGTTCACCTGCAGAAAGTTTGCTTTGAGTGATTTCCTGAGCTCGTGTAGTCAGATGCTGGGCAACACGCATTGCAATCTCTGGTGGGGCCTCGATGATGAACACATGTTCTTCGTGTTCACCAGGAGTGGTGATCAACGCTCCAGTCTCCTCACGAATCAGTTTAATTTTCTGGCCTAGTGTGATCGAAGGAGAAAGAGAGGTAGAATGATATGGGAGTGAAGTAATGAAATAAAATTACGGAATTTGGTGGGATACATAACATTCCATGGTAGATCAAATTTTCGGGGATCGCTGAACAAAAAAATATCAGTCTTCTGGAAAAGTAAAAAAAATAAAATAGGCCCTGGGAAAACATCAATCCTAAACGAAAATAATCTTTTAACAATTGACCCGAGGCACAATCACGTTCCCTTTTTCAATGACCACACTTACAACAGAGTCATTTTCTCGTATAACAGAGAAAATTCAACCATTGGAACCGCTTTGAAGAGTATCAAACTGTTAACTGTCCTAAAGAAAGGAGGAAAGAGAAAATGCGTTCGACCTGGAGCGTCTCAAGGCATTTCACACGACGGTACCTATCCGACTAGATTCTCAGGCACAAAAGCGAGGCAAGTCGGGTTAGTGAACAACAGCTTATCTGCAACAACCTTGATACCTCTCAGGTTGCACATCAGTGTGCTAAATGAACGGCTGTATGATGCAGAGGGAGCATACCTCATTATCCTATATCCATTAGATTACTAAGCAACCGAATTCTCCTAGTTGGTAGCTTGCATGAATGATCCGGCTTAATCTCCCATGCAAGTCTATGCGGCCGGTAGGCAACTAACGGTGCTCGTAGAAGACACGATTGAGTAAGACTAAAAGAACCACTTGTTGTTCGTTTCGGCATTTACTTAAAGGAAAAACCTGTCAAATAGAATGTTTTAGAACCACATTTGCACAGTCTCTCTGGTGTCGTCAAACTCAACTAAACCCAGTATTGCAATATGTAATGGCCCCTTAAGGTCGAAGAGGAATTTCATAAGCTCAATTATCGTAAATATCACCTCTTGGGCGATTGCGAAATTGCTGTATTTTGAAAACTGCTTCACTTGGAGAAACAAACTAATGAGTAGAAGATTCAACCGTCATGTGTGGAAAAACCGTGAAAATCCCAGAGACTCATTAAAAGAAAATTCAAATGGATGATATCTTCATATCGATTACCTCTAGATGGATTCATTCAACAGTAGATTATCGACTGCGCTTACCATACTTTTGACTGAATCCCCATTTGTAGAAATGTTTATTATTATTATTTATTATCGAGTTCATTCCATAAAATATCAAATAAAATCATTTTACCGTGGAAATATGTACCCCAATCAAGAATAGATCAACTAATTTGGGGAACGCGGAGCAAATTACCATAACTGGTAAAACACCCCACTGGTCTCAATTACATAGAAAGGTGTAGGTCTTAGATCCTGAAAGGTAGCATTCACTACATTCTGCAGTTCACAACAATCGTTTTCCACATCTTTTATTAAGCACCTTTATGTACTGAACAGCAAACGGGGTAAACCGTAGTCATAAAGGCCTACAGTTCAGTCATGGTAACCAGCAATCTAAGCCCCGGGATTGGAGAGGTGAACCATGAGGCCCCATTAAGTTAGGCCTGGTATGGAGCCGGTCGACAACTGATTGCTACCAGAATTAGGCGGTGAGGTTTGAACCAAGAGGAGCAGGAACCAAAGTGACTTAAGCAAAATGAACCCCATAGCCCTTATGACAGTTACGACTACTGTCGATGGACACCGGGATTGAAGTCTTCGTTTTCGTTCTTTATAGATTAGGTTAGGGAAAATTTTCCTAAATTCTTCTATTCCGTTTATCTTCCAAATTGGATGTGCTCTGGTTTAAACTAGAGCAACTAAAGTGTATCTATTATCTAGGACGACCAGTGATTTTATTACTTTTTGAAATTATCAGTATGGCTCTGAGAAAGAGAAATTTCATGCATTGCAATGGTTTGGATAAGTTACCGGTTTTTCAGTTATCGTATGAGACAACTGTTGGATACCTGACCTGACATCGGTTACCTTCTCTGATAGAGTTTACGTTCTAAATGAACGTAATTTTGATTCATTAACTTGACCTGTGAATCGCAGATAACCAATACTGTCATTTGAAGACACCGATGACAAACAACATGCGTCATATATCGTTGGACCCGATAAGCCTACATAAAGTATGACAACTGTTCAATCAATGGTTTGTCCGCTTCTTCTATCAAATTGTTTCATGCTTGAACAAGGACTTGTGAAGCGACGGTAAACATCCACCTGATTCCATCTATTTCCTGTTATCAAACTTAAATACGATTTCTAGCGCTGTACTAATCAACACTAACAAAAATACATTCAAGGAACAATAGTTGAACATTTAGTTGAATAAATACATGTCTTCTAAAATAAAGTCTTAGTTTTTTTAGCGGTGTCGACCATGGGGCAACAACGTCCTTCGGTGTCAGACATTAAACAGTGATCGCAACAATACTCTTAGTGCACTAGCAGTCAGAGGTGCATCACCTGATTTGCTGACCGATAAACGACGACAGTACCATCATCTAGGATGGTTTTAATGATGCTCAAAACGAGAAGGTAAGTGTATTCGTACGGATAGTAACAAGAAATGAACATGAAAAACAGATAGCCACTCATGAACACGCAATCGAATTGCTGGTAGAGCCAAATAACAGGCTGTATAATGATCAATTGCTTTGTTTTTTGCAAATCACGTGGTAAGTGCCAATACGACCTTTAACGTGTATGTGCGTGCGGACACACGCATTTCTATACCGATAATGACGATTATCGGTGGTCCGTAAACACTTAGTTATCGGTCGTCCGGTAAAGCCAACCCGCATAGCCACTTGGTATCCGCGCCGCAATTACGACAATTATTAACATTTATTGGGCTCACCCGCATAGAACAAGATGAAATGCGGTAATTAGATCACTTTGGTACTTCACGCATGACTAATCACTTAGATGATGGACCAGATTTAAAAGGGCGACAACACGTGAAACCTTGGCAACAATACGCCAATGAGGCGGATGAAAGTTCGACGGGGGACGGTAACCTGGCCTGGTGATGAACAAAGACGGATGCGAACAGATGGGCACTACATTTGATCTGTGGTAGGGGGGTGTTAGTCAACAAAATCCCCTCAGGAAAGCCATCGATTGAGGATCGAGAACGTAGGTAAGTGCAAAAGCTGTGATGATTTCAACCTTAATAATTACCCCCAACACATCAAATGTCGCAAGCCTCGTAATAAGGGTGCGTTCAACTGATTACCTTATGTGTCCCGAATTCAATGGTGTGAGGATGAATAAACTAAGCTCGCACCATGTTTTGAAAGTTATCTATAGCACGGTGTACTTCGTTGAAGGATGGACGTGTACATCAGACAAAGCACCCAAGCATTGACCAAATGAATTCATATATCGTTCCCGATACCGAGAAGTTCCCTTTACTGTATTTGGTCGTACAATGATGATGATGATTCGGGGAACATAAAAAACGTTTCTACCAGCAAAGAATAATACAAAGTGAAACGTTATTTTACATGGTCTGAATATCAATTCATATTAGTCCATGGGGCTAGCCAGTTGACTCAACCAACTATGATTAGTTCGGTCTTCCTGGTAGTGGACCTGAAAATCCCATGCCCTTTACATTTAGAGCTCTTTGATCCTCAATTGAATATTTCCCAAACAAGAGGAAAATAAACAGTGGGGAAAATAATAAACCGAAGCTATATTGGATGAATAGCATCACCGGTTAAAATACTGCGGAAAAACTGAAACACAAAAGGAGAAAATCGTGAACTCATTACACACCTCGCGGATCAGTTTAACCGACAAACGGCTATGCAAACAGACATGCAATTATCACCATAATCGAATTGAACGAAAATAAGCGAATTGTGATAAGATAAATCGGTGATTCCGTGCTCAGGCGACCATGGCAACATAATGCAATCGAACGGCATACCTTGTGCCGAACGGAAGCCGTAAACCGCATGTCGAATGTGTATTCCAGTTAGACAGAGTAGAATTGTCTGTTATTGATTGATTTATACGATCAATAACTAGGTCGGAAACGCATACGACGTATAGTCATCTGGACAACAAGGTATATCGATAACATAACACAGCACATATCGGAAGTCACTTGAGCGATCATCATGCAACAAAAAATGGAATAATAATTACTGACCCACAGAAACAAATTAGCTATCACCAGGATAAGCCGTACGCCTACATATCACAACCCTAACATGGTCCACTTCAAAGGTGTCAGCTCCCACGGCTGAACAACAGGTCTTGGTGACTACGAAATCCATCCCATTTGTTTATTGATGTGCATTAGGACAATTGTTTGAATTGCTATCCGTTTTACGGTTGTCGGTAAAAACCATAAACGAGGCAGTAGGCGAAATAACGCTTATTTCATCATTTAGAAAGATCCAATTATTGAAAGTAAAGACAGGACGAATGAAGTACAAGGAAGCCCCAACAGCAGAACGCGAAATATCAAATCATCCTGCAGACGTTCCCAAAGTTTCACATAATGCGGGATGTTTAAACCGAACCAGAAATTCGTTTTTATAACTATCTCGGAAATATCAACCAGTACAATGAACGTTTCCAGCACATGAAAGTAACGTGGGGGTGCAGACAGATGCGCACACGCTCCCAGCGGGTAGCGAGCACATATCAAGCGTCGATCACAAACAAGCGATACTATTAGTTAAGCGCCAATGCGCAATGAAAACAATCACGAAAATTTCAAGGTCCACCGGAGTTAGAAACAAAGCCGGTCAATCTGAGTCACAATAAACAATTTCCATCGCATTATAGAGATATTTCTATAATATTCGTGAACCCAAAGCAACAACTATTTCGACTAATGGGAAGCGGTTGAATGAACAGCACAAACAAATCAAGTGGATGGCGAGTGTTTTGATCCAATTATTTTATGACCTCACAAGTTAGACTTCTCAAATGATATCATACATCACATACGTTTGAACAAGAAGAGCGTTAACTTGTGGATAATTGAAACCGGCATGGAAAAAGACGAGCGTTTGAGCATACCTTTAGCGCTATGGATGGTGCCGGGGTCAAGCAGTTTAAGTCATTGGTACCGCCGTGCTTTCGTCACTAAGTTTAAATCCCATCACCGCCACCAAAGTTGGTGGTAGCTGGCTTTGTTGTTATCCGGCTTGATGCCACGTATAACCTAACGGGCTTTGCGTGGTTTGTCACTTAAAGGTTCGGGGCTTAGATCGCTAGTTTCCACAGAAAAATAGCAGGCCCTTGTGCGATTCATCACATTACGGTCCGTAATAACAAAAAATGTATGTATAGCTCGGATACCCAAATCAGGGAAGTGATTTCACTCATGAGGAACTCGCATAGCAGTATTTAAACTGATAACATGAACGTAAATGAAAGTTTTCCGTAACTCTTTTTGACGCAAAAGTCCAACCAATAAGTGATGCGTGCGGAGACTCAATGCGAAACTGTCATGATCACACACCTCCAGAGAATTGGTGAATCCGAATGAAACGAGACTGTGATCAAAGCGTCCGAAAGAATTCATGATAGTTCTATCGAGGGTAAAAATGCATAGTCATATTTTCATCTTGAATATACAGAGGTAGAGGGGAGACCCGGAAAACTAAATGCGCCGCACAAACATACATGCATGTATATCCGGTGTGTTAGTGAATGCAGCCAACATCCAGATCAAGCCAGATTAGTTACCATCATCATCACCATCATTAACAGCAACAGTGCAACATCATATCAACCGACGATTGTGAAACGAGATACTGTGATAAGCACATTTACAGTCTCAATCGGCCCATGTGAAGCGACGGACGAGGGTCACATTAAGGACGATCGGAGTGTGTGCGACTGCATGAGGACCAGACGAAAACAAAGTGTATTTGATGCTGTTGGATGAAAAGAAATAGCGCAGTAAGCAAATCGGCAAAGTAGTGCCGCATTTCGATCCATGCTATTAGATGGATCGACTACGTGTAGTGGAGAGCATTTATGAAAAAGAACAGAATAGTAACCGCAAAATGACCTCAACTAAAATCGGCCCAGACAGAGATGGCATACGAGCACTCACAACAATACGCACAAAACGCGAAAGCTGGAACTAGACAAACCTTTAAATAAAATATGTGGCTAAGGTGTCCATCAGTTTCAG